TCGTGCACGGGACTAATCGTGGTTCTGTTCGATTCAATATGTCTTATTTTAGATACATAGGTCCTTTGAACTGAGAATAATAGGCATGCATAGTCTTTAAAGGACGCGTGTACAATTTTTATTGGAGAAATTTTCATCGAATACATTACTTTTTTCTGTTTGAAATTGTTGGTAATTGCCCTGTAAAATTATTGGGTGAATAAAGCAAAATTCAACGAAAAGAATATGGTGTGATAATTTCTTTAGCATTTATTGGTAAAATTATAACGTGTAACGAAAGCACAGAAAATGGCTTGTAAAGCCAGAAGCGTGTACGACGCGCTCTTGCTCGCTCATTCAAGGTTGGCTATAGTTCAGCCATGGCCCCCTTTCTTAACAACTGATATCCTGTCTCATCGAACAATGCAACTTCCTTTTGCAAAGCACCAAGAGTTGAGCCAGGACAAAGCGACGTCTTCGGAGAAAAATACAAACTGTCCTCCGTGAAATAAATTTAAGTGAAGTGCCTCCGCTACTCCGAAAAAAAAACCCGACCGCGGGCACGCATTGGCTATCGGAGACTACAAAAAATACGGGTAAAAAATCCGCGAAAAGTTGTTAGCCGTAACCAACCCAGGGCATACAAACAGGCCATACGGGATATCAGTTACGACTGACCTTACATTCGTGTATGAGGCCGAGTTGCTTCTAATTACACACAAGTCTGTGTCATAAATTTCGTGCGGTAGCTGCTTCCTCGAGCGTCTCTCGTGCGCTGCAAAGATGGCTGCCGCGTACCATCTGCTAGAAAAGATGGTATTACGCTGGCGAGAAAAGCCCACTGAAAATAAACCTGTATCTTGTTTCAACAAAACTTGCAAACAGAAATAAAAGTGAACTGTACTTGTAAAAAATGCCCGAGTCAGAGGTCAATGACATTCTCTTACGAGTCTGTCATTGACAGTGATATTTTGTCATTGACTTAGATTGGAACTTTATCAACTGAGAAATCAACTGAGAATCATCAGAGAAATACATTTTTATTGTTACTGTCCGGTGACGCCGATAAAGTTTCTTAGTTTATTTAGCACTTGACATTAAAGTTTCTTTAATTTTTGAATACCAGTTAGATTTCTTGATTTATGTGACCATTAAATCAAGTCTTGGTTTTGTTTAGTACCAGGAAGTTTTTAATTAGAGGCTCTGATAATTGAACTTCGTCTGTTGTATGAAATTCACGTTTCTCGTTGTTTATTTTCCATTAAGAGGGAAACGTTTGTTAATGGTAATTATTTTCCTGTTGGGGAGTGAAATTATGATTCATTGCGCTATTTATTTTTCTTGTATGGGGAAAATGATTATTTCTTGGTTTTGCTAATTATGCTAACGTTGATTGAACGTTGTCACACTACTCGTAATCAACGTTATTTTTCAACGGCATTTACAATCGGTTTACGAATACGTAGATTAATTGGGGTTGAACAGCGTTGCACACACAGGCGGGCACATTAATTAAAACAATGCAAAATGTACAGCTACAAACGAGTCGTGATGCATGCACGACGTTTCCGTGCCAATGAGGGATGTCAGGAATTCGTTATTCTGAGGGAAATATGGATTCTACTCAAACGTAACCTTTACATTTATTAAAGTAGCAGCGTTTGCGCTTATTGAAGGCGACGTACAGTGTCCATATTCTGTTGATGGGCTGAATACAAGCTTCGAAGTAGGATCAAATGTTAAATCCGTGCCTTGTTGTTGTAGGTAACACTTTTTAGGTAAAATATGTATGCAACATTTTTTGCCTTGGGTTCACGCTCAGTAACTAATTAACTGACCACACAATGAGTTTACATATTCGTACTAAGAATATAGGTTGAAAAAGAGGCTTTTATGCTCTGACTACGCTGACATGCTTCTAGAAGTAACTATGCAAAGTTCACATTGATGATTGTTGTGGAAATGATAGATCCCTCTTCATACATAGATGAATTAATACATGTTTAGTTGGGGGATTAATGTGTAACCGCGACAGCGTCGGCGCATTTCATTTTTTTCGAAGCTGGCGCCGCAGCTGCCGTCTCGGAAATGCCGAGCGTAGCCACGTGGAGAGTGACGCGCGTCTGGGGACTTTCATACCTCGAATTAATGATTATTTAGTTCATTAATATATTTTTCGTGGTTATGTGTAATGATAGCATGAATGTCAGTAACATTGTCAATCCATGTTGAAAATTACATGGTATTTCGCGCAGTCCCCACGGTTTTGCGTTTTCATGCAGTAATCTTAAGAAGTGTAATATGATGATAAATTTTAAAATACATTGCGTATTAAGTTATTTAAGTATAGCTCTAACGTATATTGTTACTTCGCCAGCTTCGTCTTTTCTATTCTCTGCCTAACCGTAAAAAACACGTTTCTTATCGAATTTTCGTCTACATTGTAGTCTAACGCAATTTTCTATCACCTTGAAGGAATATCTACGACAAATATTTAATTCTTGCTCTAACTCTCACCCGTTGTGAGCCCCACCACTTGTTTAATTTTTTTTCTATATTTTCTACATTATATTTGTATATACTTTTTTAAATCGCCGAATTTGCGATTGAGGCGGCCAATGCTTGTTAATTACTGCTTAGTTAATGAGAACAAAAGAAGTCTTACATCAATTACAAACGATTATTCTGTGTGGTTGAACTGTCACGCCTTAATCGTATAATTTCCGCAGAAATGACAAGCTAACGCCAGGATCTTGCAACATACAAGAGATACGCAATTAATATATTTCCGGTGCTGTAAAGTACAAGGGGTTCCTCGATAGGCATGTGCATGGTTTGCTTAAGCCTTCACCTATGGACGGACGTGCAGTGAATTGAAATGCAGTAGTTTTTGAATGCGTGTAAAAAAATTGAAAAAAGGGTTTTTGTTCTTGAAAAAAATTCAATTTAAATGCTTCTGTTTATGACACAGCCCTCGCACTCCAATTTCTGACAGCTTCTGTGACCAGAAAACTATGAAATTATTTAAATTTTTAACGATGCGTCGGAGCTTACCTGCTATATGCTAAATGCGTTTGTTCATTACGCGCTTTCTAAAACATTTTTAAAGGGAATATCTTGCTAATACTTACTGAAATTTGGACGTGCTCCTTAGTTCATGAACTGCGAGATTAAGATTCATTTAATTCTCTTCTTGGATCACATTCCGGTCACGGTTGCAGACCATAAAGACGCTTCATAGATCATAAGCTGTTATTAGGCAACCGAGTGTTGGTCATTCAGTGGCCGCCTGTGATCCGATCATGATTTTTATATGGGTATGTGATTGGAATGTGGCTCCGGAAATGCTTACCGCTCAAGAACTCGGCCTATGTATTGTAGACGGACTTTTTCTTCTTCCACTTGATTGCTTACATTTTTTTAGTGCTTCCATGCCCTAAATTCCTAACGTGTAACTCAAAATAATTTTTTTTCTGATGATCATGTTCCAGGATACAGAGCTCATGTTGTCTTTATTGCACTATTGTATAGTCTAAGATTCTTGATCAGCTAGCCAATTATTTATTGACTATCTAAAAATATCTCTGAATACATTTTAAGATGTAGTCTAGTTTTCATACATAGATTCCTAGATAATTAATTTGTTTTGTTTGTCTCTATCTGACATCAATTCGGCATATTTTATTAGGAACCTTAACATTGAGGAGTCTCGAATTTCTCTATTATTCGTCGGTTCTGAACAGGCAGCTTACCTGCTTGCATAAGCCGGTTCTTTACTTTAAATGCCTGAATAAACTCTTCGGTTATTCCATCTACTTGCATATACGCGCTTGTCATGACTACAATACATTATTCCGTTAATTTTTGAATCCGCTTGTATGCGAACTAGTCAAATAAACACTTTCAGTACTAGCAGATTATTTTTGTTCACATGTTGTTACTGCTGAGTCCATCTATTATTCATAGCTGAAAAACCTGTCAATTATATTCATCGAATGCAAGTTGATCATTTAATAAGAAGCTCTCGAAATTATTTATAAATAGCCCAATTTTTTTATTTGGAATCCGGTTTACCGCAAGGTCGCGTGTTAGACGCGAGAGTTACTCATGAGTAACCTGGTCCAGGCAAGGTAACGTGGCAGGCACGAGAGTTACTCAAGAGTAACCTGGTCCAGGCAAGGTAACGTAGCAGGCACGAGAGTTACTCATGAGTAACCTGGTCCAAACAAAGCATGAATATTTGACCTCAATGCTTTGGATTTAAATTAAAATTTTTCGAGTTGCCTGATATCTCGGATAAGTATTCTTGCAAGAAATATTATCCAGCGTCCTAAGCTCTGCCACAGCAAGAATCAACTCCATGCACGTTATACAGGCAATATTAAATTTGGTTTGTTCCGTTTCGCTAAATATGCGCGTATTGCCATCAGTTGAAATTTTTGTGATAATAAAATGTTACTTACAAGCACAACCCCGCTTCGCTTTCTTTGACCTAATATAGAGTACATCCCAATGGGTTTGTACACTGTACAATCACTATAATGTCAATAGTTTGAAAAATTATTAATTTTACTACTTCTTGAAGCTATGTTTTTCAACTTCTTCACGATCACTTTCGGCATCCTTGCTTTTCCCAACATGTTTTTTTGCAGTCAGTTGAAAACCTTTGAATTTTATTCCGCGTAACAAGAAGGGATACATCTATAATATGTTCGAATTTTGTCTAATTAAATAATTTGTTTTATTAATATAATCAGTTGTCATATTATAATAAGTTTTGTCTTATTAATATAATAATAATAATTAATATGCCGACTAACAATAGTTTGTTTCCATCGAGCAGTCAACCCTCCAGATGCCGGGCTCCAGGTATTATAAAAAAATTTGTGTTATTAATATAATAATAATTAATATGTCGGATAACAATAGTTTGTTTCCCCTCTAGCCGGGCTCCAGGTATTATTAAAATAATTTTATCTTATTAATATAATAATGATAATTAATATGCCGAATAACAATAATTTGTTGCCCTCGTGCAGTCAACCATCCAGATGCCGGGCTTCAGGAGTCTGGGCGAGAACGAAGAGGTGGAGTTCACCGTGCGGGAGGGTAGACGTGGCCTCGAGACCACGCTAGTGCAGGGGCTGGAGGGCGCCCAGTGTCTTGGTTCACAGACCGAACCATCTACATCCTTCAGGCCACGTAGACGCAAGTACGGCAATTTAAAATTAAGGCAATTTAAAATTAAGGGTCTAATTACTGATTAGAGTAAAAATGTGAAATGTGATTGTTGGTTGAATTTTGCTTGACGGCAAATTACGTTGCCCGGCATGAAGAGAAAAATGGTAATGATAGCTTTTATTGCATTTGTAGGTAAACGGTTAATAGTTCACTGTAGGCAACTTTTGCTATTTGGGGTTTAGATAAAATAGCAGTAATGATGGTTAGCGGACCCGTGTATAAATGGTAGTCATTTGTTTATAGGGCTGAACTTTAATTTAAATTTTTATTGTTGGAGTCAATGCCCCAAATTTTTCGATCAAGTTTATAAACTTGTTCACGAGTCTTCTTTGATAACGATTCAAATAGTTCAATCGCGAAATTTTCTTAAAATACATATAGGGCCATCAAGGTTTGATTTTTCTTAAGTCTTAATTGACTTTATTTATTCACTAAAGTCCTGGACAACATCGTGCGTAGCTCTGCTGAAGATTAAATCATCTAAGTATCATGACCAAAATTGAATTAATTTTATAAAAAAATTTTCCTGTTTAAAATAATTTTCCTAGTACTACAAACTAGGAAAAATTCGTTATTAGGTCAAGAATATTTTGACAGAAAGTTCTTTGAATTATTTATTGAAATCCGGTGTCAGTAAATCGATCGAAATTCTGCATGTTTTAATTTCGTAAACTCTCTCATGCTGAGGCATAACTAGTTTATTTGTCTCTGCTTACACGAAACGAATTTATACGCAATTGAAGGAGTTCTTTAATGTCTGTTGAATTTTATGTTCTTCAATCCAGTGATACAATTTTTTAAAACTTTAATAGTTTTTCAGAAATTCACATTTCTACGTTGATCACTTACATAGAGGTGAAAAGTTCAAAAATCACCGTTAATTTTCCGATATTATCCCATTACAAGAAATTTTGAAGTTATTGTTTTCTTATCGATTTTAATTTCTCTACTGAATTTGATTTCTCTACTAACAAATTTCCGTGCATATACTCGTGGTAAAAAGCTGTGGATTGCGTGCAAGACTTGCATTTTCCGCACCTCACTCGGGTCACTTGCTCGAGCAACTCACTATCCTGTTTTAATATCCATTTTATTTGTTTCTTTCTTATTAATTAGCTTAATAACTCGCTTAATTAAAGAATGAACGAGAATTAACGCACTTCATTCTCGCAGGTGCTACAATTGCCAAAACTTCGGGCACTTCGCCCGCGACTGCCCTGAGTCGCGCCAGCCTAAGCGTTGCCACCACTGCAACGCAGACGACCATCTCGTCGCCGACTGTCCTACACGCCCGGAACGGGTAATTATTTAATTTACTAACTGTTTATTTATTTCTTATTAGTAAAAAATGGCAGAATTTTCTTGTTTATATGCGTACAATTTATGACCAGCGAATGCATTACAATTTTCAAGGAGTCGAACAATTCTTCAGATGTTAGATGACGTTGGTAGATCAAAAGGCAGGTTTAACGAGTAATTATAATATATATACGACCTTTAGAATGTAGCAACATTAGTTTACAAGTTGAGAGAAGCATTTAATAATGAAATTTTGTCTGACATAAGTAAATAATACACGTAAATATGATAGATCTCCTAAAACCTCGAGCCAGAAAGTCCCTCCGCAAACCATCTCAAAGTTACACAAATCCGGTAGTTTGGAAATGGGTAGCTGGATTCCAGTCCAATGTGACGAGGGTTCCAGCAATCGTTGGTCGGGTAATGTTGTGCACCACTGCATGATGATGCTGGTGGGTTTCTCCAGCACTGTGCTAGCGACGGTCATGTGCACGTGTTTCTCAGGGGTTTCCTCTGCCCCTGCAGACAGCAGATGGCTGGTTAAACGGTCTCAATGTCGTGGTTGTTAGTCTAATTACTCAAATATAGTCTAAATGATGAAGTCTACAGCCTTCTTTGAAGCAAAATCCATAACTACACTGGTCTCCTGGAGAGCTCCCGCTACTTGACAGGGCTAGAGTTTATCGTATTCTTCAATTAAGGGTGTCACCAAGCCCGTTGAATTAATCAATGATGTTGAGATGAAGTTGCCCGTTTGTATTACTCAATGTCGTGATTTTTAGTTCAGTTACCCAATTTTCTAGAAAATGACGAAGAATTCATCTGAAGATTTGTTCGACTCCTTGAAAATTACATGCATTCTCCATCATAAATTATACGCACATTTAAAATTATTGCACATATATGAATCTACTCATTTTCCTATTGTCGTTTATTATTATTGATATAGTGGGCATCTTTTTAATTAATTACAACTCTGAATCAATGGAAATTTAACTGTGAGAAGATGGTGAGCATTGGCATAAGATGGTTCAGCATTGGCAAAAATCTTGCAGTAAATAGAACTCTCGTGTATTAGCAATGTAGTTATCGGTTTTAGATCGTTAACGTTGTTTTCTGCAATGATGTCAATTCGGAAAAATGAAATGTAATTAAGTATCTTAAGGTAATATTTTGTTCTATGCGCTCATAATTTTTTACTAGCATACGCTGTCAACCTACATTTTTTTGTAATTTTTGCATTTTTTTTGTAATTTGTACTGTCAACCTACATTTTTTTTAAATGTATGCCTAAAGCCAAAATTTTTCTCATGAATGCTTTTTAAAAACAGTATTAGAGCTCTTCGGGTGCTTGATTTGAGATACATTTTGTGCGTGTTTGGGAAATATTCTGCCACATTTATTAAAGTTGTTCCTGAACTGGAGTTCTGGTAATTTAATATGATTGTCAAAAGTTGAAACAGTACAAAAAATTGGTAAATCCATGATTAGTGATAAATCCATTTTAATTTCTATTATGTTTATCATGCACAATCTAAAATACTGGTTTCTCATTCCAGGCTGCCCGTCCCAACACCAGCAGGGAGGCCAGAAATTCCTCTCAGTAAACTGAGAACTTTGAGCTTGCAAGTTGGCGTTGCGCCTGTCAGGACATGACTTGGTCGATTCTTTACTCTGTGCTTCCTATAAATTCAGTGATTTTGCATTCAGTGCAAAATCACTTGATTTGATTTTCAAATTTTCGATTTTGCATTCAGTGTAGATGACATTTTCAAGTTTGTTTTTTTGCTTGCCTCACATTTTTTTGTTAAATTGGCATGCTGTATACCGCACAATCACAAATAGTCTCAATTTATGTTTTTATTGGTGAAAATTGGGAAAGTTTCACTGGTTATTAAGTATTCACGGTTGTTCATATTCAAATGTTCCTCAGAAAATGAATTCGGGACTTTTACGGGAACAATTCACTATGTTGCTGAATGGGTCCTGGGTCATATCACTAATAACAGCTCTTTAGTTATAAATTATTATTTAAAAAATTTAGGTAAAATCGGAAGCATAAGAGTCAACCATAGGAGTAGAAGTCCTGCGCGTAGGTGGTAGTGGTGGTAGCCGACTGCAAATTATGAAATTAATTTCAAATATCGACACGAGTAAAGAAAGGAGGTGAGGATGTTTAATAACGAGGTGCGAAATTCCATGCCATAAAATTTTGTTAAGCTGAATGTACGAAATATTGAGTAAGTTTCTATTGAATCGATGAGACGTAAACTAGGATTTTCGTAACTTTGGGGTCATATATGTTCATCAAATTTCGTATCTAGGTTGCAGGAGATATTTTATTATTGACGAATCGCAATAGGAAGTTTGCCCCCGACGTCTTAAGACTATTATTTGCTGCTTAAATTGAATGTTTCTATCCTCCACAAAGTCAACTCTAGGTGATCTGACATTCAATGTATTACGTTTGTTATATCTAACATGAATACCTTGTACATTGAGAGTAATACATGAGCTAGTGTTTAGGTGGTTTACAACACCAATTATTCAGCTTCTATCATGACACGAATTGCATCGGTGAACGGTAGCACGATCACACATTTCCACAGCTCTCAGGAAGCCGGAAGCATTACGGGTCTATCTCAATAATCTAGTTCAGTAAACTAATAGTCAATTGCCACTCTACTGTCAATTTTTCGCTTTGGAAAGAAAAGTGTTTGTGGCCTATGTAAAGGTGTTAGTTGATTACATGCAAAAGGTTGTTTGCTTTAGCAAACGAGTCTGAGCATAACGGCGTTCTCAATTACTGCTATTAGTCTGGTGAAGATTCTGGTGGAGAGAAGATTGAAGCAAAAAATTTCCGCAGAAATCGTATGTGACATTAAACTGAGTCTAAGTTTCTAATCCTAGAGCACACTCGATGAAAATAGTGACTAGATTAAATTAATAGCTTCTAATTCCTCTTGCCTTGATCTGGGTATTCGTCCGAAATTCAATCGATGTATTTGTGGATAGAATTTCATTGATAAAGTGATGTTTTTTCTTAGATTTCATATTGACGTTGATGTTTTAGTCGACATACTATGTTATAGGTTGATCAGTTGCGCGCATCGTAGTCTGTGTACAGTCTGCAAGTTAACGGGTACGTTTTATATAGTTTTTTAGAGTATTTAAGAAGACAAGGCCAGCTAGGGACCAGCGCGTCTTTTTCTGGTGCAGATTTGCCATTAAGACGTTTAGTGTAACGTAACGCTAAGAACAGTCCTGTACTAATTAGCATGAATTGTACTAATTACGCTGATGCAGACACTCGCACTGGAAGGCAATGGTAGGCTTGCCAATTTTCGCAAAGCACTGCAAATTTGTTTAAAATGTTCATGCCGCGTCAGAAAATTTGTCCTAGAATAATTCTGTGACCCCTAAACCATATGTAATGAATTCAGCGTATAAAGCATCCTAAAGAAAATGTGGTGTTTTGTCTGGCGGAAATTTCAACATCATACCTGAAAGTTTCCAGACTCGGCTGTACTCTATCGTCGTTGCTTAATTCAAAGTTTTAATTGTAAGTGTAGATTATAAGTTACTATTATTAAGACGCTAAGCTACCACGTAGCTTCCATTCGCCAACTTTTGTAAGGCTTCCCTGATGAACTAGAGGATTGATCTCATTAGATTTTATTGAGACCTGCGTTTTCTTTTACTTTCCTTTAGCTAAGTAGGAGCGAGTATTGGAATGAAAATGGTTGAAAAATCTTTTCTCGATCTAGATTCTGTTCTTTGCAATTACCTGGACCGTTATTGAATATACTAACCTATTTAATCACTTGGGTTAGTACCTAACAATATTTTCCTATAGGCTTTTTTTTAGCATTTTGAGTTAGCAGTAAAGGGTATTTTGAATTGTAGTTTCAAACCCTTTTTCAAAACTTTGATTCCGTACACTGAAGTCGAGAACGTTGAGGGGTGACATGAAAACGAAAAGATTGGAAGAAATCGTTATCCGCAAATACAAAATGCTCACTTGAGTATGGTTCATCGATTCAAAACTATTATTTTTAAATTATTCTGTCATATTAGTTCATATAATAACTGTGAAATTATTGCGTTTGATCTCATTTTAAAATGCGTTTCTTCAAACTAAACGTGTATATCATTTTCATTTGCCTATAACTTAATGTAAGGAATCCTACCTACATAATGACTTAATGTAAGGAATCCTACCTACATAATAACTTAACCCCACAACTGAGACCTACAGTCAGACACCGCGAGCTCAGCGGTAGGGCGCTCAGGAACAATCCCCCTAGGAACGCGAAATCCCATAGGACCTCTGACGAGCACAGACAATCGTCAGAAGTCCCCCCTGAGGGGTGTCATGACCAGGCAATGATATGAGATCCGCAGCACATGAGACGATAGGACGAGCTGACCTCGTATAGCGAGCTGATTTGAGACGAGCTGATCTTGTGGATCTCATATATATAAATGACGAGCTGAGTGGAGGCGAGCTGATCATTTGGACCTCTTGTAGGATCCATAGGCATCTTGTCTGATGTGCCTATGGACAGGTTTTCTAGATTGGATCTAGGACTAATTAAGATCTTAGTATATTATTTTTCCTGGATGGAAAACTATGCTACGTGCTGAATGTTACGCAAATTTTTAATGAACTTCATAAATCATTAGCGCTGGACAACAGAATACTCGGGTAATATTTCAGAAGCCTACTTACAAACAGGGAAGTTGAATTTTTTTATGCAGCTTCAGAACGCACTGCTTGCGTGAATAGAACAAACGATCAATGCGTTTTTCAATAGAAAAAATCAAGTAATTGAGAGAAAATTTCTCGGTAATCTAGTCCGGGTGACACTCAAACGATCAGATAAATATGAATATTTAGATCGTGGGCAAGAAATTATGTTGTTAAACTCAATAAAGTAGAATATCTATAATTTATTTTCACGCTTGCGAAGATGATGAGATGTTTATTGATTGTGCCTGTACTCCGTTTGAATTGGTCAGATTGTACACAAAATCAAGTAATAAGAGCTAGCCAGTTAATGTTCATAACAAATTCGTAACAGATTTATTTTCGTAACAAATTCATTCATGACTAATATAAGGACCTCATTTGAGGACCTCAATTTACCACAAATATACTAAACTTCTATGACCTAGAATCTAAGATTGTTATCTGAACACTTTGGAAACTGAGGATTTTATTGATGTGTATCGATTTATGGTGTAAATTTACAGCTACTTCACCGACGGCTTACTCGCGTCTTATCTATGTTACGACAACGCAGGTCATTGCGAAAGATATTTACGATATTTTTACAAGGTCAATTTAAAAATGAGGTCTACTTTCAGTCGATGTTATAAATGGATAGCAATAAGCATCGTTAGACATTGGGGGTATCAAATTTGCTAAAATTGAATTCTGCATGCGTGGATATTTCGGTTGGAAATTCTTTTGAAGGAGAGTGTTAGGTAGACTCAGCGTAAAATAATTGTATTTGTTTTGAAAATCTTAAATATAAAAACCTGGTGAACTCCTAACCATATTTGACATCGAGACACTTACAAAAGTGAAAATCTCAACAAGCTATAAGCTGGTCGTGTGAATTTTTCAGAAAGTCCAATTTGAACTGTACTGGAAGTGCAAATGTAAGCAGTTACCCTGATAGTCTACGGATTCGGGATCACTTAAATTTATATAAAACTCTACGGTAAATAGAGATCGATTTCGAACTAAAAGTTTCACTATCACATCAAAGTATCGGGAACATCATCTCTACTGATAAAAATTTCATACTTTATGATGTCGTTCGAAAATCTAGAACCATTTTTGAATTCGACGGATGCGACAACCCATGACCCAGAACCCAAAGATGATGGTGAGTTTTGAATTTCTTTATATGAGCAATAAAGTCGTGTTATCTTTGATCAAGTTCATGAGCTTTGCTAGCGCGTTAGGTTCAGAATATTGTTGCTTCAGTTCTGTAACGTCCTTCAGTTGTATTATATTTATCTTATCTAAGAGCGAATCAACACCTTTTCCTTTTCCGAGGATGATGAATTGACTACAATAAAAGAGTTTGATGGATAAATTGGAATTAGCGTCAGAACAGCTGGAATTAATTTCAATTAATTAAAGATTGTGCAGTCAATATTCGGATGAATGTCGACATTACCATCGTCGAAATAATGTCGACATCTTCAATATCGACATTACCAGCCAGTTAAGAATTTCTTCTGTCTTTCGTACTAGTAGAATGTCAGCCTCAACGAATTCAACACTTAGTATATTCGACTAATTCCTTTCATTTGTTTGAATGCCAGTGAGGCATTAACATTTCTAAAATAAATTTTTATTATCCTGACAAAGCAAAACATCAGATTGATATTAGCCATTTCTTGCTCAGCATCTATTTTGTAGATATTTGTCATTAACAACTTGTTCCAAACGAGTGTGTCCGCATGGGGAGCGAGAAACCCGAATATTAACAATTCTTAGGAGTAGATGTGAAAGAAGCGCTATAAATTAATTTATATTATAAATATTAGGTTGTTCAATATTATATAATATAAATACTGTAAATATAACATAGGTTTGTATTATAATATAAATATACCCTCTTACAAATGTTAAAAGTCGGTCGGCTCACTGGGAAGATGGTGAAGAGGAACGTCCACCTTAAACCACACGACAGCACACGTTGTGTGAAAATCCGCGAACAACCTCACTGAAACGGATTTCACGACGTAGTTCGGAGTAGTCAACTGTTGGACTTTCCAGCTCTGTAAAAAAGGCTTTAAGCACCAGTGAAATGCCCTGAATTCATGACTGAGGTACTAAGTAATCAGTATACTTAAGGGGAGCGTCTAGATAAAAAAAATCGATAAACTTTGCTTTTCCGTTTTCTTGGCTCACTTGTAGCTGCGAATAGGCCCGTCTAGCGCTGCAAACCGCATATATTTGTTAGTTTTCTGCGTACTAAATCAATTTCAAAAATACATAAAATGAACATTTTTTAACAATGTGTACGAAGATTTCTTTAAATTAAGTCTGTATTCATAGATCTCTATTTTAGTTACTTGCAAAGCGTTTGCACTCGTTTTAAAGCTACAAACAATACGTGTACAACAAAGCTAATATGATTGATGTACATGCAATAATTTTTGCGGAAGGCTTTTTTGAACTTTTATAAAATGACCATCTTGTAACAATATTTACAATTTTTCACAAAAAATGGTATTCACAGATCATGATTCGCGTTAATTGCAAAATGTTTGCACTCGTTTGAAAGCTACAAACAAAGCGCGTTCAAGAGAGCCAGTACCACGGATGTACTTGCAATGTTCTTTTGCGTTAGGCCGTTTGAACTTCTGTAAAGTGAACATTTTTCATAACATAAATATCAAAACGTTACATTTATAGCTTATTATTCGCGTTGAACTTGACAAGAATAAGTCTAAAGACGCGTGCTGCTACCCTAAATACGAATAATTGGCAATGGGAAAGCTTGTGCAGCTACAATATCAAGCAATTTTTTGCGCATTTTTGTTCAATAAATGTTACTTATTTGGCTCCCCTGGATAATTAAAATTTCCAAAATACGCCGTTTTAAAAATCTATCTCCTTCTATGATTTTCAAGCTACAGAATTGAGAGATATACTATTCGATCGTAAGCAAAATCTCTTAAGATGATCCAGTAATTTTTTCGATCTATTTTTTGTTTTGATTATGTATTGACAAAGGTGGGAGGGGTCAAAATTGAAAAAAAAATCGAAAAATGACTGGAATATCTTTAGATATGGTCTTTACGCATCGAATGATATGTTTTTCGATGTTTTAGCTCGAAAATCCTAGGAGGAGATAGATTTTTTACAGAACTCCCTTCTTTTGCCATTTTCTACGAATTTCACGTTTTTCTCATTATTTTTTCTTGAAAATTTTACACGAACAAAAAAGTCTTAAATTTCTATTTTACCTACGTGTACCAAGTTTCAAAATGCTCCGTCCGTCAATAAAAAAGTTTTTTTTGGTATAGACGCATCCCTTAAAACTATAAATTATCAACTCGCTAATGCAGCCATACTAGTGCGAGGCGACTCATGCAAGGGTGAGTGGGAACAACTAAAATTTGGAATATAATTGACAGGATAAAGATAATTTGGCCTGACTGACAAGACGCGAGAATACTAGCGCTAGAGGCCTATAGATAGTAACGATGATATTTATCTGGATAGGGGTCGGTTTTATTCAATCAACAACTAAATTTTCTGATACCAATATTTCTCTCTTAGCTCTGATATATAGTAAAACCAACCTTACAAAGAATTTAGAACATATGAAATTGTTGCATTTTCATATCAGGAAGTATTATGAGTAAACAGTACTTGCCTTCATCTATTTTGTTTCATAAGATATGCCCCTAATCTTGCTTTGATAGTTGCGTTACTGCAATAAGGCGTTTAATCCGTTATCCTAATTAGTAATTACTGACGGCATACAGCCATTGAATTTGACTGTTAGCAATTGAGGTCAACGTAATACTCATATCGGTAGAGACAAAGTGTGCAAACAGATTTTTTTGTATTGCATTTCCGATCTATACATTATTATTTTCGTAGTATATTTGTTCATTTCTATCATTTACTCGAAAATAATATTACCAGAAACAGTTTAGTCTCATCAACCTGAAAATCCAACTATGATAATTTGAATTATCTACGATTTCAATAACATTATCTCTGAAATATCATCGAAATGTGCTATTATCGGAAGAAATTGAGTTTTACAGCTGTAATTTTTTCTGTTCTTTGTCGATAAAACATAATTTTCAGTGTCTTCATAGCGTGTTTCAGCTGGAGAGATGTGCGAGTAGAGCAAGGGTTTAAAACAAGGATCATAATCCCTACACATTTAATTCATTAATTGTATTCATGATAATGTACACATGATAATTCCTAAATTGAAAATATGTGAGATTAATTTATAGAGCAATTAAGCCATAACACGTGACCAGTAACGAAATGACCATTTCCGGAGAGTAGAGTTAAAGCGCATAAATCTGATAACGATAACATAGATAAAAATACCAACAGTCAAGGAAGAGATATCACTCGGCTCACGGCAGGTAATCGTCTTTTATTCGATGACACAACACTTTTATAAAAACATTTAAATTTTGCATTATCAACGGAGGCTTACTGAGGTTGTAAAGTAAGAATTAGGGCAGAACCTTATCAGTTTCACGATAGTACTGAGTAGGTTTTGTCCCGAATCCACACACAGTTTGTTCCTTCTGTGTTAGATGCATACCATGCTTTGTCTGTTATGAACCGTGATGAAGTGAATTCTGAAAAACTAACGCTTGCAGTGCAAAGAAGGCAGAGCACGATGGTTGAGTTCTCACTAAGCCTGGTGTACCTGGGCTGCCTGCTAGTGTCCTCTACTCTCCAGGTCAGCATAGCGTTGGTTTATTATTATAGATCATTAAGTTTTATAAAGTATTTGTAAGTTTATGTTTCATAGTTCCTGCATTTCATTTTCCCTGAAGACTTAACTGCTTTGTGCTTCTTGAGTGAACATTATCTGAAAAATTCCTGGCTTCAAAATAATGTATGTTCAAATTAAGTTCATGCGCAACTGATCACATAATTTGCAAAATAAAAATATCATAGACTTTGTTTTAGAAGTGATTTTATTTCTAAGAAGAATTTACGCTGAAACTTCTCCATGTTGCTAATCGCAAAGCACTTCTCATTGACGACATTCCTCCTCCTTGTGCAGATCCAGACGGCGCGGGCGGCAGATGGTGCGTATCGTAATTCATGCTGCCATATTAATGCATTACAGATCATTAATATGAATTCAATGATATAAAGCTGAAAATAGTTCTTCATCAGTCGTTCATACTGACAATTGCTTACTTCAGCCAGATCATGATTATATTGTGCCACCTTGAACCAATTTGTAATAGTTAAAATATTGGACTTGGCATAAGCTTCTACATCATTTCTAGGACACAGAATATGAGTGAAATGTAAACTTCGGGCTCGTTGATTGCAAAGCTTCCATGCCACCTCCGAATTTCAGGACATTTTTAATTCCGTATTCACTTTCAAACCAGACGTGGTGAGCCAACTGAAGCTTTATCCACAAAAAACGATGATCGACGCGACGTGGGAGCTGCAGGAGCCAACTGGTAAAGTTTCTAGGTACCGGGTATCATGGATACCTGATGGAGACAGCGTCTCTGCTGCATTTTGTTATGTTAACTCGTCTGCTACCAGCACCTCGGGCTGTGTTACGACCTTAGACAGCTGCACTCTCTACAACGTCACGGTGCAGCCCAGCGCTGAAGATGGGATCTTTGAGTATAACACTGGCACCCCTGCGTCCGCAGCAGACTACACCCTGCTGGATGGTGAGCGGGGCGAGCATAGTTTTTTACGATTCGAAACGGTAGAGTGAGAAAAATTCCAATATGGTTCCCTGCAGTTTTGTTTCATTTGTAGCTTGAATATTAAAATGAAACATCTTCTACGAAATCATTATAGAACGTAGGACAGCCGTCATTTTGCATTGCCAAATTTGGACAGAAGGGTGCTTTGGTGCATTTCATCTATATTTAATAATAATATGTATTCTATTCCGCNAGTGAGGAAGATGGTGAGTGAGGAAGATGGTGAGTGAGGAAGATGGTGAGTGAGGAAGATGGTGAGTGAGGAAGATGGTGAGTGAGGAAGATGGTGAGTGAGATGGTAATAATAATAATACAACGACATTTTAGGGACACACTGTACAGATTAAACAATAAATTCCAAGGTACAGGATGTATTCACTCAACGCGTTCAACGAATCTAACAGTAAAAAAAACAAATTCAGGATATTATAAGATATTTAGGGGGAAAAACAGACGTGTATTAAATGAATCAACCCATGAGATGATCGATCAATAAAATAGCAAAATGAGCTCAGCGGATAGATTATTAGTTGGTGAATATGATGCAATAGAGGCGGAGATTTTCTTCCCCTGCACTACGGATGACAATTTAAAATTTAGTATATTCTACGAATTCCTTTAATTTATTTAAATGCCCGTGAAACACTAGCATTTCCAAAATAAATTTGTATTAACTCTTGACAGAGCCAAACATCGGGTTGATCGTGGGCCTTTCATTGGGCATCCCTTTGTTCCTCATCGTCTTGGGTCTTCTGTTTTACTTCAGACGCCAAATTGGCGCGTTTTGTCGCAAGGAGGCACCGGCAAAAGATATTGAATTTAAAGATGACAACCTTTCTAAAGTGGAAAGTTCACCATCTCACAAAATTGAAAGCTACCCGTCAGGCAATATTGCACAAGTTGACCATCGAGACACGCAGATGTCTACGGACGCGGACAGTCAATATGAGATACCCTTGCCGACCCCTCCACCCCAGCGACCGCCGAAGCCTGAGTCGTACACTGATGCGAGACCGCCGGGAGTAAGTAAGGAGGTGAGTATCAAAAGTGTTGAGATATTCCTGAGTTTTCAGTAATAAGTTTCACTGCTTTCTAGCTTCAATATTCGGTTTTACTTTCAGTAAAACCGAATAATTTTACAGTACTACGTTTCATCCTTCAATAATAAATGAAAAATCATAGAATTTCAGCTGAAAGTTGATCAATTTTGACGAAAGTTCTGAAATTTTCACAGAAGCCCAATGATTAACTATCGAAATTTTGAGGTTGGATAGCTTTTGAATTGAAGACGCCTTTGAATTGAAGACGCCAGCGCGTAAATGTACGAGCGTAATAAGCGTTTGATTAGAATATAGACAGAGTGAGCTTGGGGTGTTCGTGGGACGCGCGTATATATTTGGCATCTGATAGCACGGACGCGGCCCATTCTGAAAAGTGCGTTAAAAAATGCCCCCGTCCTTCTCCCCCCCAAAATTTGGGAGGGAGGGGGAGGGCATTTGAATTTCTGTACAGTAATGCAGCTGTACGCTTAGGGTACGCACACAGTGAAAGCAGGTTGTCAGCGTGCTGGTTACCTGCTCAGACTGGCGCCTGAAACCATAGAATACAGAAGCCTATTCGTACAGGTTTTCACTGTGAACACTTTCATTATTATCCTCCATGTCCGAAACCTTCTATCCCATTCACCCGTACCAAACACTCTAACCTTATGCGGGTACTAAATATTTTTCACGTACGGCAATGTGAAACATTCTCTCATCTTAACCAGTATTAAAACTTCTCTAATATTCGCCAGCACAAAACATGTACATATACTGTTAATGTTCTCCCACAATAATCACTTAAATCAGTCCTCAAAGTTCCTCAAAATATATGCAAACAACAGCCTAGTGCATCTACAAGGCTCAACTTTAACCATTTCAACATAGAGCAGATTCAATGTAGTAGCTAATAATTTAATACCTGCTGCGTTTCTATGTATGAAATACCTAAAATATAATGAATTGTTCGTGGTAATGCAATTCAAGGCGAGACCCGCGTACATTCTAACTTCCTCCTGCATGCACGCGTAACATGCATTGTAATTTGCTAACTTGTTATTTCACGATACAACACTATATATAGTAAGCTTCGTTCAGCTGTTTAGCGGGGCGTTATAAAATTCTGCATACAGCGTCTGTAAAGAAGAATAGAACGATTACTACCGCGGGAATTGCAGTTGGAATTAGTTGCCTCTCTAACATAGCCATGTTCTATGGCAATTTCAGAAACTTATCCTGTATTACTTTGCAAGTCTTCGAAAATAATCCAATTGATACTGACACTTTGATTTAACCCCGGCAAAAAACCTGATGATACCATGGAAAAAAGCACATAATCACAGAAATAGAGCAGCTTTTTTACTTACGACAACGCTCTGCATCATATTCCATACGTGTTTTGCTTGCAGCGGCTAGATGGTGAAGACTTCCGGGTGCTATATAATCACGCAGACCACTGTTGGAAATGCTTAACTTTCGGTTCCACAAATCGATTCAGCTATTATGATGAATTATAAATTAGAACCTAGGGAATATGAACACGAGCAGCTTAAATAACACGCTCATGCTAAAATATACCCCAAGTTGGAAATTTCTGCAGAAATATTCGCTGAACTATGTTCTTGAATGCCGCTATACCAGTGACGGTTTCCAACGAACACCACTTTAAGAAGCCCTTCATAGTATAAAGTAAGAAAGTTGTGCTTCTAAAAATGTTCAAAATTAATATGTTTATCCTGTTAAACAATTTTTTAAATTCGTATACCTCACTTTCCACCGTACGACTATAGAACTGAAAATAGAACCGTGTCAACTAGACTAGCGTAAATAAGCAACAGCCTCTAGCAGTCTCGCGTTTGCTCACGTTCTTTGCACGAACTTATACCGGGGTGAAGGAAACCCCGGGTGAGTTAACCTAATGCGTGAGTTTAATAGGTGAGGTTAAAAATTTTAAAAGTCTAGCAACAAATTTTGCGCAACGAACAGAATAAAGTAACTATATGAAATAAAAACCGTACAGCATGGACTAAGTTTTGTCATCGATATCGTTTGAACCACCGAATATAGTTTTTATTAATTTGTTCTAAAAGTAGCGAGGTTCCATGATAGTTACGCCGCGATGAGTCATGCCCAGCACGCACAACCGTCATAGAACAAAACAATCTTAATTCACTGACGAAGGATAGAATAATGTGAACCGCACTACAGTATCACGTTGACATTGAATATCCAAATTTTGAAGACCTGGGGCCGTACTTTCAAAACTCGCTAAGTAAACGTAAGTACTTACGCTCTATTCTCTTGTCTATGATTGGTGGATTTTGCTTGTAAGGCCGTCAATGATTGGCGGAAGAACTTATACAATCTCGTAACTTTTTTTGAAAGTATGGTATCTGGTGTGTATTACCGAAGGTACCTTGTATAATGCCTGCCATCTTGAAAGGCACTGCCATCACTGTATCACGCAGTGCCATCCTTAGATCACATTCCTGAATATTTAGTGAAAACTTGTGGGCCCTGAATACAAAAGTTCATCAGTTGTTCAAATATTAATTATTTATGTTATGACTAGGATTTAAAATTATCTCATGGAGCTACAGGCCTTTCATTTTTTCACGGTCATTCAAGTAGCCTCTGGTTTTTACAGATGGTAAAGTAAGAAGTAAAGGCATCCTTATCCGAAAACCCATTTGTGTCATATACACTATGAAATTATCTAGCTATCAAGTTACCCCGTAAGCTCGAAATTTTGTAACGTATCATATAATTTGACTTTGCTAAAGTGCGCGTGCACGCACATCGACGCAATTCTATGACCTGAAGATGGTCATGGTTCGCGAGCGTGAGTAAGCATGGTTCGCATCGTGAGTAAGCTTGACCAGCAGATCCTTTCGGTTATGTTAAGCCGATTCGGCCCATCGGTTCATGGACTTCGGAAAAAGGTTTCTAAGTAACAGCGGAATACAGCAGATGGCCAATTAACGCCTGAATCACCTCAAAGGCTACCCGATAAACTGCGGGGCGACGTAAAATGGAATCCGAATTTCGACTGGATTTTTAATTTCCTGAAAATGAACATTGGTGCTGAACTTTTGTCTCGAGTTTCATTTGGAGCGCCAAAAACTTAAATCTGATTCATATCTGCGCAGATCATTGACGAATATAACAGACTTCCCAAGCCCACGAAGAAAACTACCGAAGCATCGAAACCCTGCAACAAGTTCCAAAACCGCTACGCAGACGTTCTTCCATGTGAGTTTTTCCATATTATTAAAACTTTGTGATCCCTTAGGATACATATGCCGGATAAATTTTAAAATATTTTCTGAACATTGCACCTCACTTTAGTTTCTATTGTTAACTTAAGAGAATTGAAGGAAAATTAGACACATTTCCCACCCCGAAACATTGTTGCTATTAATTTGAAATTATCAGTACTAAGAAATGCTTCATATACTCTGTGAAAAAAGGAACATTGCTGATAATTTTTTTGTAATAAGGCCAGACTAATTTCGATTCTGTTGAAGTGTATGCCAGAAATCGACAATCGAACAAATGGCGGGAGAGAGTTTTACAAATTTTTAGGGCTCAAATGAAACACATGCTGTTCGAATTGGTTCATTCTATCCATTCTGAATATGCAAGTAATGAATTTGATGTAGAATTGTAATATAATATCGAATCCTTGTGCACCAGTTGAAGAAAACCGCGTGAAGTTGAAGTCTGGGGAATACATCAACGCGTCCCACATCGTAAGTTTCGTCGATGATGTTGCCTGCGTTGAATAAGAATTTTTCTGAGAAACAGTTATAATTAATTTTGAATACATTAATTTTATTTAATATTAATAAAGTTGAAAATTTTCACTAAATATTTTTTAAAATAATTTTTAATAAAAGATTTCTTTAAAAAGTGGCAAAAATCCGCACGTCCTATAAATATCTCACTTATAATTTTTCTGTGTTACTGAGAATTTCGAATAATGCGCGTGTGGATCATTTGATTTTACTGCTATTCATAATCAAGTTGGCAAACTGAATGAATTACAAGAAACGTTGTAAATGAAAGTCGTTGATGAAACCAGTTCCATCATCAGTTCAAGATTTATAGAGGACAGCGAGCGTGTGGCGAGCACTGAATTAAATCTACGATTTATTATAATAAAATCATTAATTGATGTAAATGTAATAAAAAACGGATAATACATCTAGAAAATGTAAGGAGAATTCTGTTTTATTGTTGTCTTGCACCGATTGGATCAATGAAAGTAAGGAACAATATCGTAATACTTCTGTGTTCTGGAAGAAACCTAACAAGCTTGTGTTTCTAGAGCGGCATTTCACTTGGTAAATAAATTTGCCATAATAACTGTTCACCTGATCTTCAGGACGGCGGCTTCATAGCAACTCAAGACCCACAGCAAACGACTGAAGATGACGAGCTCTTCTGGTCGATGGTGTGGGAGCATCAGGTGTCCATCATCGTCAGGCTGTCAGCGGACGATAAAAATCTCGGCAACAAACAAATGGGCGTAAGACTTGTGAAAAATTTAACAGGATTGTAGAAGAAAAATATTTTTGACTTATAACCCCGGTATTGGATTTTCATCCGTTTATTGCGATGTAAAATTCTTTGATCTAAATAAATAATATTAAATAAATCCCGCATGACAAGCGTCAATAACTCAATGTTTATTAACAGTGCGGAATGCCATTGCCAAGTTGAAGAGTATTCCTTTTTTAACCGATGTTGCCAGTCTAAACACAGTGTTAAATAACACAAGCATGTCAAGTTTCAATAACCCAGTGTTTTATAACAGTTTAGAATATAATGGTCAGATTAAAGAAAATCACAATATAAATGATGTTTTCAGTGTGCCCCTTACCTGCCCCTGGACCGACGCTGGGTGTTCAACAACGGCATCGAGGCGAGCGTCAAGGAGAAGAGGCAGGAGGAGACCACGCACACCACCACCACCGTCTTCCTGGAGAAGACGGAGGGCGACGTGAGTAGCTCTATGACTAAACCACAGCACACCTGGCATCTGACTTTGAAATGACGATGCTTAGACTTTGAAAATCATCGAGAAAATCATCTTGAAAATCCAAGGAGGAGATAGATTTCTACAGTACCCCTTTTTGGCTGTTTTCTAAGAATTTCACGTTTTCTTTCATTTTTTTTTCGGAAAATTCACACGAACAAAAAAGTCTTAAATTTATTTTTTTACATATGTGTACCAAGTTTCAAAGTTATCCATCAGTAAATAACTGAAATAAAATTTTCACAAGAAATTGAAAATTTCCATTGGAAATTGGAAATTTTATTTCGGTTATTTACAGACAGATAACTTTGAAACCTGGTACACATATGTAAAAAATGAATCTAAGACTTTTTGTTCGTGGGAAATTTTCGAAAAGATGAAAGAAAACGTGAAATTCTTAGAAAACCGTTTTTTTTTAAAGGCGACTTGAAAGTCCGATTTGGCGTGAAGGGATATTGCGACATGGACTAGTGTTGGGCCGTAGTGGTTGGCAGACGGAGTAACAAACTATTTTTGTCAGTTTGGCTGTTGATTAATTTTGCAAATAAAATAATGTATAACGAATAACAAGCTCTCGATAAGGAATTTTTAAATTATATATACAGGACATCGGGAAAAGGCAGGTGGTGCACTATCACCTTAAGAACTGGAACGAAGGCAACCCTCCCGAGCCGATGAATTTCCTCAAAGTCCTGAAAACGATCAGGGAACGCAAATTCAGCTCCATGCTGTATGAAAATGGCGACGGAAATAGGGTCCTAGTGCACTGCGGGTGAGTCATTATTACGAGTTAATTGTTACTTATATTATCAGTCTGCATATAACGCAAGTTTACAAGGAATTTAAAAACAAAGGAAACGCCAAGCAAATTCACCATATCGATATTGAAAGCGTTTCGGAGTCCAGCTCCATCATCAGATCGACAATCTAAAAATGAATAAAATCATTTTATATGTCGAAATTCTAAGACAGACATAAAACCTAAACAAGACCTAACATTATATCGAAAAACAGGACTCGATCGGAACAACTTAGTCTTAGGGGTCACGAAAAGAATAAAACTTAAGAAAAAACACTAAAACATAAAAGCCTAGTGATTTACCATTTCAAGAGGATATGAACAAAATGCATTATTGAGACCCGGTTTTCAATTGAAGACATGCAGAGACTCCAAAATCCTCGAATCCGAGCACCCAGAAGTGGAACCGAGTATCCTGAAATCACTCTCAGCTAGATACAGCCACGTCGCACTGTTCTGCATGAAGGCGTACGGAAGAATGAGGAGGCTTGCCGAGAGTCAAGTTAGAACGATAGCTCCTGCCGCGGCGTTCAGAAACCCGGATGTAGAAGTTATGAGACGTCATTCCAACGTACGCAGATGCGCAGCGCGCACAACTGTACTCACAGCGCGCACAACTGTACTCATAGACTAGGTTTGATCGCACCCGGGCAGGAATAACGTCCTTAAACCTCATGAAAGAACCGATTTTGAAATTATTTACCAGCAAAACATCCAAATTAATATTCGGGAAATATTTCATAAACAAAATATTTAGTTCTCTGTACATAGTTTCGGACGCACTACCAAAATAGGGCAATGTGCAATAAATAGTTTTCTTACTATCGCATTCAGTCACAGTTTCAGAAAATTTGTTAGATAAGAAACGTTTGATTTCACTAAACACAAGGCACGATGGAAAACCACTAAGCTGAAATATATTACGAATAAATTCTAATTCCAAATGCGTATCATGGAAGGCAGAACAAACCCTATAGCCGCGGTATATCAAAGTTTGAAGACTTTCCAATTTGAAACGAATCGAGCAGAAGCTAAAGAAGCTTATACCCACACCAGTAAATGTCGGTTTTCGATATACAAAAGTCCGAAAACGACCGTCAGATTCAGTAATTTTACAATAGAGAAACAACAAGCAATATTGTTGGATTCTCTTTTCAATATCGATATGGTGAATTTGCTTGGCGTTTTCCTTGTTTGTAAATTCTTCAAGTTAATTGTTGAGTTATCGGTTGTTTTTCGAGTGAGTATCATCTACAGGTCGTTCGGAGTTGCATTATAGTGGTAAAATTTTTGGAAAGTTAATGTTATGTTCTAATTTCTTACTTTATTGGCGTATTTTTGTTAACTTTGGTTACACGATATACGCTTATGGTAGCATTTTAGATTTTTTGTTGGTTCTTGCCTTAAAATGATAAGCTATATAAGTGAATCTTTCGAAAAATTTTTTTGTCTCTTAATGCAACTACTCTGAAATTTTCATTTCTGACGTACCAGTAATTTGCTTTACAAAAACTTAACTAATTAGTTGGCCCTATACTAATCCTAAATAACGCAAATATGTTACAAGAATTCAAGATTTCATGAATTTTTATAATAGAAACATTTTATCGTTGAAGAGCTGGAGCGAACCGCAGCGGAGGCTTCATCGCTGTGTGGAAGCTGATGGACGACGTTGACCAAAACCAGAAGCCAAATGTCTTCGCAACTGTGGAGAAACTGCGACACCAGCGCATGCTCGCCGTCCAGACTCTGGTGAGCGAATTTCTAATTTCTTACTTTATTGGCGTATTTTTGTTAACTTTGGTTACACGATATACGCTTATGGTAGCATTTATTTCAGATTTTTTGTTGGTTCTTGCTTTAAAATGATAAGCTATATAAGTGAATCTTTCGAGAAATTTTTTTGGTCTCTTAATGCAACTACTCTGAAATTTTCATTTCTGACGTACCAGTAATTTGCTATACAAAAACTTAACTAATTAGTTGGCCCTATACTAATCCTAAATAACGTAAATATGTTACAAGAATTCAAGAATTTTTATAATAGAAACATTTTATCATTGAAGAGCTGGAGCGAACCGCAGCGGAGGCTTCATCGCGGTGTGGAAGCTGATGGACGACGTTGACCAAAACCAGAAGCCAAATGTCTTCGCAACTGTGGAGAAACTGCGACACCAGCGCATGCTCGCCGTTCAGACTCTGGTGAGCGAAGTTAACTTAGGGTGAACGTTCTTTGATTCTGAAGAGTTGATATTTTGGGGATTTATGAACCAAATGTTATGGCATTATGCAGTGAACTTTAGCATTTTTTACGTCGAAATTGAATAGTATCGTGGTTCAGAATTGGTTATTGAAATTAAATGCAGTCTTACCTTAGACGCATACTGTTGCGATCTCAGATATTTAGGTAATCTGGGGCCATACTTTCAAAACTCGTTTAAGTGAACGTAAGTACTTACGCTCTATTTTCTTGACTATGATTGGTGGATTTGGCTTGCAAGGCCGTCAATGAATGGCTGATGATCTTACGATCTCTTAACTTTTTTTGAAAGTATAGGCCCTGATCTGAGATTTCCATGAACCGTGCGCAACGCAAATCGTCATCACTGAGAAAAAATATTTAAATGACTCTTGAGGAAATTTTTCAACAATCATGTATATACAGTATATTGCAGGCAACTTATTATCTATTGAGAGCAAGCTAAATGAAAATTTCAATAGAAAGCATGTCCATAAAAATTATTTATAAAAGGATAAAAACACAACAAATCTATTAAACAACTTTTCACACAGAGCATGTATTACTACGTCCATAAATGCATCGACCTCTACGTTGAAAACAAGAAAATTTTCAGTGAAGGTAAGTCAATGACAAAAAATGCAATAAATAATTATTTGATTT